TTCACGGATACCCATGAGTAATAGCCCTGTAGTATAGACATATCCAATGCAATCTATTGTATGGTTGTAGTCTTACGCACCGTCCATGAGCCCTGGTTGGAGACACGTCTACCCATCGCATTTCCTTTGTTTACTACCTCTATAGTTGCTTAGATCTCTAAAGCACTCCACTCAAACCGTCCTCCTTCCCTACTACTATGTGTCTTTTCTCCTGCACATTGGTCAGCGAGTTTGTTTAGCTAAACTACTAATGTGACTAAACCACCATCTGGATCCTGATTAAGCTGCTTAAATATCAAAGGTATCTCAGTCATTTTTGGTTACACAAACATACAGACACTGGCTTCCGTTTTCATCATAGTTATTGTCACTGAGGCACGGAATTGTCGCTCTATCCAGATATGGGTGTTCGGACAGCCTGAACTCCTTTCCTCCACAGCTAGATATGGTTTATGGCTGTGGGTGCTTAGACGAGCTCTGCGCACCGATAAGTTTCCTCCGCTGCACAAATGCACTCAAACTTTGAATGTGTTCCGCGACAGGCAAAGATATCCATCACCGTTAAAATGCTGTTTACTTCACCTCTATATATCCGAAGTGTTTCCAAACTAGGCCACCATTCGTTGTAGACTACTCAGCTTGCTGCACTTTTGTGTCTTAACTTTACTTGTAAGGTCCTCTGATTTTCACACGAGCGATGATGTTGTTTGAAATGGAAATAAGAGACTAGCGAAGTGTTTACAAAGCATACTTTGTTTACCCCTGTGATTAGTGCACATTGGTTCAACTGATTTGGCATCCGATCGCAGTCTCACTATTCACGTCCAAGCACTCCGTCTGTATATTCCCACGCCGTACGCCCCGTGCTATCGTTTCATCCCACACTCGGCGTCTGTGTCTGATAATAAACATTTGCTGCCAAATTTCACTGTCCATAAATCCGGCTCACCGTTTAGGTGTGGCACGTGCGGCACTGTCAGCTACTTTAAATACTCCAACTTCTGCCTCCCCTCGCCACCACATCCTAATCAGCTTGGTAATAATAATAATAATAAATCCTGGAAGCCCATACACACGCTTGTGCTTCTAACTTGTTGGTAGAATGAAACACTGGCTACCGCCTCAACGCGGTACTTGCGTGGCCTCATCTACCCGTAACTCCAAGTATATCTACTCTCCGCTTCTCTGAATCCTATTCATTGAAAGTGACTGACAAGCTTGTTTGCTCTTAGCATTGGACCGACTTCTTAGCGCGGATTCGCGGTTCTGAGCGGTTTCTTCCGTATTGCTTACCATGACCCGCGGTGATCTAGTCTGGATGCACTATAGGTATATAGGAGTGAAGACATATGTGCGTTTTAATAGCGATGAAACTCGTCGCTTCTCACAGAACAGATTCGAAACGACAGGCGCATTTACGGCTGCGGAGCATGTGCATCGGTTCATGGATCTCGCCCTAGCTGACACCCACAGGCGTACCTTATGTACTTTTAGCTTCACATCCAGTTCATGATCACTGAACAGCTGCTCGTATTGCTCTCTGTTGCTTCATCGTTCATGGTGGCCAACCCATCGCACATGTTACTACCTGAATCACCAAGCCCCACGTGAGACCGACACAGATGTGGTGTTGCAGATCATCAATGAGGAATAGTGTGTATTATGCAGCAACATGCTCGATGCTACCACAGAGAGAGAAAGACTACTAAGAAAGTGTCCGTTTATGATTACCTGTGCCTACGAAACATTAGGTATCATTGATGTGACTACTGGCTGGATACTACTGATGTTCGCCTTTTGGGGTTTAACAGCATACCCCCTTGACTGTTGAACTTGAACCTATCTGAATTGGAAGTTGCTGCGAAGAACTCTCAAGCAATTACATCGAAAATCCCCTATTCATGAGTATATCAACATATTTACGGTAACACCTAAATGCCTTATCATACATAGTTGCTAATAGAGAAACCGTAGCTCTAGGGACCGACTGTGTCCTTTGAAACCTTCGTGCCCTGCATGGCAGTATAGAATAATGCACGCTGTATCTCAATGAGCTTGTAGGTTGACGGCATTCTGCAGTCTCTCATAGCCTAGTGACATAAGCTGCTGCTTAGTGGTGCAAGGTGCTAGTGGTCATGGATTCGGCTCTTGATGAATCCGATGGATGTACACAACTGACGAGACCCAACAGGTCGAAACGGCGGTCTAGTGCTTTTCCGGAAATGTGGAAGACTACCTGACCTCGAAGCTGCCGTACAACACCCTCAATTCACCGAACCGATTAATCTGGCGGGTGTATGAGGCGGCTAGTCTGGTGTGCCTGACTTGCGTGCGTCAGGGCTTGATACTCTTTAGATTGCACTGGACAGCTAGTGGCACCGTGGCCTCCATCATGGCTCCTTCCATTCCCTACGCAAATTAGGTCACTTATCTGTCTTTTCCAACTTCTGTTTGTTTTGGCTTTTATCTATGCTTATTTCCTTTTTCTTCTGTCTTTGTTGGTTTTCACTGCTGATGATACGAGTGACCGACCGGATCCACATCGCACTCCTCTGCTCTGATTACTACTGTTTCACTGAACTGTACCACGTGTCGCCTACGTCAACTGGGCTCTACCTCGTAACTTTGACTGTTCTCTGTGACCAGACGTGTTGACCCGTCCATGTGTGCTTGAAGGCCGCTTTTCTTTGCCCACCATCTTTCAGACATTGTCACTGAAATGCATTAAGATCGGTTCATTGGTGGTATCACTGTTTGGTTTGGGGGAAGTTGTTTTCAATCATGGCCTTATTTTGACCGAACCTCGATCGCTTCGGTCGGCAAGAGTGCTTGGAGCAGATACTTGCTATGTTTTGCATTCTTTAAACAACACTCCTCGGCTAGTTTTCTACATGTTCGACTCCCTCAGGTCGAGATAGTTGGTCAGAATTCAAACCTGGGATGTCTAGATTTCCGGCTATGCATTGACTGTTGCACCACTGACCTCTGCGGCCAACACTAGTCTCAATGGCTGAGAACTCATTGTAGGGCTTCAGCAGCAGTGATTGTGTATAGGTACTGTAACTTAACAGCCTGGTCGCTGCGATTGCCTTAGTCGGCTCAAACGACACGGTCGACACGAACGATATTGACTCCGTGCAAACTTGAACCCCGAACGAGAGAGAGTACACTTGTCGATACTCGCGAACTGGACGGGACGCACCAGTCGATACTCGCGCTTGCCGCTCACGCACTCAACTCCTTCAGCAGAGCACTTTTACAACCCATCGGAAAGGCGGCTACAGGGCTGCACAGCCTCAATTTTGTACCGAGACTGGCGACGTAGACTGCGGAGGCAAATACAAGGGAAAAGGCACGGAAGAAAGTCCCAGTAATCCTAGGCGTATATGTGACAATTGAATTCACATGCACCGCTCCGGGTGTCCGATCAAGTGAAGTGTGGGCGCGGCAGACATAAGCGTGGGTATGTCTGGGTCGTGAACTCACAAAAGTACATTGTCTGGATCACGACTTGCGCGACCATTTTGGGGACAAGTGCTCCCCATGAAATACTTCGATAGGTAATTTTGATTTCAGTTGAAGTTCTTCGAAATCAACCTTGGTCGTTTTTATCACTGAGACCGTGACTGAAAACGACGAACCTAGTGATACCATTTGATATCGAGTTCTTGGTGTAGACCAGCGTCGCGAGAGGCTAAAAGCGAGTGCGTCCCATTCCGAACAAATTTATCTCTAGGTACTCTTCGTTCTCCTGTTCTGATGTTGGCTAGAAATAGTGGCAGGTTGGCTGGTACGGCAGTTGCACGTGACATTTAAATGCGCCGACTCTCGACGTGAATTACTATGGCTTTAATGGTTCTCGAATTGACTCCCGAAACTGCGCGCATCTCCAAGTGGTTGCACAAACAAACGGGTAGATTAGATGAACTGCGAGGCAAGATTGCTTCAGCGTCCACATAGGATCCACTGAACATCAACCACTCAGTCAATCATGTTGCGTCATTCACGGCCCTCGTGAACAATCAGTATCCTCGCATACTCGGATTACTTGAAGTCCTTGTGTACAAAGGCAGCCGACAGTAGCCCTTAGTTTAACATGGTTCCGCGAAGCGCGTCAATCGATCACATATGACCTTGTCTTGTTGAAAATATGACTGGTTGCACGTGTTGGTTGAGGAGAATGCGCGAACTTGCTGCGTCACATCCGCCTTCTGGTGGTCTCATTGGGACAACCATATTTTCCTTTTTTCGCGCATCGATTGTGGCACTTTGCCAACTGTCCTACAATTAGTTCTGTTCACAATAAATAATAAAAATACCTTTTACCTTATAGTAGTGGCAATCATGATGAGGATTCGCCCGTTACCCACACTAAGCTGGTCTCCAGTACGACATTGCTATAGTTACGCAACTTGTTGCAATGAATGATGTGGTTTGAAGCATAACCACTTCTCAGTGTACGGTGTTCCTTTCATTCCGACTATAAACGTACCTTTAACACAGAAACTTCAACATAAATTTGAAGTAAAGATGGAGGAATGTGATAAGGAACTAGCTTGGCCTGGTGCTTAATGATTCGACTGTGTCTGGAGCTCACTCAAGCCACTGATTGCTCACAAGCTTTTGGATTTACTCTGCACTATCTCTCGTAACCTTTTGGAATAAGACCCTTTTCGCAACTCTCGAGGGACTTCAGAGCATTACTGGCCATAAAATTCGAAGCTTTATCCTGTGCTTCTCTTCGGTTGCCTTTTCAAGTCATTGAGCAAACAATTCTGGAGCTGTATCTGTTTGGTAACTGATACCTCGGGGAAATTGTTTCTGATGCTGCTCAGTAATTGTTTCAGAGTCGCAGCCGCTCGCCGAGTTTGCCAACACGGCGCCAACGCCCGTCTTATGCCTTAGAGGTTGATATTGGAGTAGAATTCTTTCATGTGTTTGTGGAATGATTGATATGAACACATCCTTCCCCTCTCCCGTCTTTCTATCTGTTTTTGCAGGTGTCCTTCGAGTTGGATAATCAAGGCAGAGTGAATGTCCGCGCTGATTCTGCATCCGTTTCCAACATTACCGTTTTCTCTCTCCAATCCATTCCTTACGATGAGGCATTCAGGTCCTCCCGTTTGCCCATCGCCCTCCTCAATGGGGCACGTCTTTTGGACTGGTGGACGGAGCGCGATGCCTCTGGGTCTACTGTCCGGCTAGTTCAACTGTTCGCCCGGCTGAGTCACGTAGCCTTAACGGTGAATGAACTGGCTGATTTGGGATTGAAGTTGCCGGTCTTGTACTCGCCAACTGGGCACAACTTGACAATTCATCGGATCGAACAACACCACGAAATCTGGGTCACTCGTGGTTCCATACAATGGCGAATTCGCTATGTCTCCTCTTGGGACGGAGCATATTCTCAGGCAGTTCAGGAAGCCGGAGCTCGTGGTCGAAGGGCTGCCTGGGCACGAGAATCCGACAAGGCGCACAGGTTGTCCAGACCCGAACGAATTGCATCCTCCACTGACCGTCTTGTCGACAGCAACGTTGCTGCCCAATTGCTGGGGCTAAATCACTTGTGGACTTTCAAAGAGTTGGCTCAGCTGGGACAATCTACTCCACCGAAAGGATACCAATGGGTTCCGGTCGTGTCTGCATTCGGGAATTGGACCACGATCACTCGGCTGTACGATGACCCAGGCATTTATCAACTTCGCCCCACCGAAGCCACAAAAACGAACCGAACCTCCGGCTAAAAACCGTTCGCCACTTTTGCCTCCGGTGAGTGGACGATAGTTTGGATGGCTTGAAACCAAAACAACCGTGTTCCATGTGTTGTCTTTAGTGTCACGAGTGTAATGAGGCATTTATCATCGTCAGTTAGTCAATCTTCCAGTGATTTACTCAACCAACTCGTTGGGTTCCTTATCTTTTTTCACGTGGTATCAAGTTGTTAGAACCCAAGGGGCAGGCGGTAACTGTTTATTGCTAAGGTGGCTTACACTAGGTGTGTTCGTCCATACCATGGAGGCGTCCGCTCATCTGCGTGATCTCCATGGAGTGTTCCCCAACTGGTGCTTGCCTCTGTGTTCACTCCTCGTGCGCATGGAACTGTAATCCTGATGTCATCTTCAACTTTGGGGAAGTCGGCAGGGCTCGCTGTTGGTGGGTCATCTTGCACCACCACACTACTTATACCCGGCGCAGTTGTATCTACTTTTAATCCACCACACTCCTCGAAATCCTCCAAAAACGCCTTCACAAAGTTACTAGGTCACAATGCCTGAGCCTAACCTAATTGGCGCTTTCTAGAACCCCTCGCAGCTAGCGTTAACTTTTGATATATCTAGTGTATCGCACACTGATGACACAATTGAATCATGTAACCACACTCGGTACTCACGTAAGGACACTATGTTATCTATATCCGGGTTGCTTTTGACCTGATCTTAATGTTCCCTAACAAATTGCTGCTCATCTAAGCGAGTTGATCGATATATATATGTATATATGTATATATATATATATACGTATATATATATATATATATATATATATATATATATATATATATATATATATATATATATATATATATATATATACAGAGAGAGAGAGAGAGAGAACACAGCCAACAGTGCAATTGGCAGGGTGCCACAACGTATGGACAAACATGATAATACGACAATAATAAGGAAATAGAGTGGGTGAAAAGAGTGCAAAACTGGAGTCATGGGGGTAGGATCTCACAACATGTTCGCCACTGCTCACAGTTTCTTCGTATGTCCAATAATATTTTCAGCCAAGTGTGTTCATGGTTGTTGGGCACCCAACCGGACAGCGGCGAAATGTGAAGTCAACGCTTTCATAATGTTGGCCCAAATCATTCGCTGGCCACCTTATCTTCGCTTCGAGCCGACTTCTGTGCGCGCAATGAGTGCACGAGGATGCAAATGCTCAGTAGACATGCGAAGCAGTGCCCAAACTACCGAAGCCTATGCAATGAAATTATGCAGCTCAGCGCCGGCAAAATCTGTCTGTTCTGAAAATCCTTCGGCGAACGTCCTCATTGCTAATGTGACGCCGTACCACCACCGTACACCAGCAATGCTCCGAAGACAGCGGTGATCAAAGACAGACAGCCTCTGAACGTCCTTTGCGCGAACAGGCTAAGTCTCGCAACCGTAGAGTAGGACCGTTCTTATCGTGGCATTGTAGACTCGGCGCTTCAAGGACTCAGGTCGCAGCGACGCTAGAGACGGCGAAGATTAGCAAACACAACCCAGGCCTTAGAGACGCGCGAGGAGACCTCATCCGTTAAACCGTTAGCGCTGATGCAGCTTCCGAGGTAAACAAACTTGTCTACCACTTCCAGAGATTGACCTGAAAGGGTAAGGATAGGACCAAATCCAGGCCAGTAATGTACGAAGACCTTACATTTCGAAGGCGCGAAGATCATTCCAAACTGGGAGACAGACACTGCCAACCTACACGGCACATCTTAGGCAGCCTGTGAGGAATCGCAAATTACGGCGATATCGTGTGCATACTCCCAATCGCGAAGTCGGTCCCCCGGAAGCAGTTCAGTGCCGCTGGGTCCGCAGTGCTCCAAAGCGCTCTCCAGCATGCCATCAATAGCGAACTTGAACAAGAAGGGTGATGCAAGGCAGCGCTGTCTCACGCCACTGGTGATAATAAAGGGCGGCGAAAGTTCGCCGTACACCCGCACTCGGCCCGAGGTTCGAGAGTAGATGGCTCGAAGGAGGTTGACGTACTTCTCAGGCACTCCCCTTCTCAAGAGACAGCTCCAGAGAGCAGCTCGGTCAACTAAGTCAAACGCGGCTCGGATGTCTAAGAAGACAACGATCGTTGGCCTGCCGAACGTTTGACGACGCTTGAGTATTTGGCGGAGTGTAACGATGTGATCGATACAACTCCTGCCGGAACGGAACCCAGCTTGCTCTTCGCGTATGTTTTGTTCGCGTACCTGCATGTTCCATCTTAAAAGCAGGGCGGCGAACACCTTAGAGGCAACGCAGATGACCTTTCTATACCGGTTATCGATCAGTTTCCGGATATACCGTTTTCGGCAACAGAACGTCTGGTTCCTCAGAGAGTAGTATGACTATTTGTTGCGCTTTTAAGCAGATTTATCGAAACTGGACTCAGACGGACGGCCACCACACATCCAAGCAAGTACTAGCCGGCTGTTTCCTCCTATAGGGGGACTGTTACGTGTCGGCGACTAATGCCACCGAGCCAGGGGTGATGGCAGCGAATCGCCACGACTGCTCTCTAACTGCGAGACAGCGCGGCTCCTTCTTCCATATCATTACATATTATGAACCTGCAGTGGACAGGGTTGGGCCTCAGAGCGACAACTTCCTCTGCAATCCGCCACCAATCCTGGTGGCACTTAAGCTGCTAAGGCGATTACTGCTTATTAGTTAGCAGTAGGGGATCTATTGGGTCTTTGCGATGACTCATCGCAGGCTGCCACCACACATCCATGAGAGTGTTAGCTTGTCGCTTCGTTCCATTGGGACTCCTAAGTAGCACGCACCCTCCGAATCCTTCCGGATTCCAACCCACGACCTTACTCTTACGACTCAGCGATTTATACCACCAAGGCACGGGTGATACCGTCGAGAAACCATGACTGCTTTCTAACTGTGATAGCGCGGCTCATTCCCAAATATCATACGTGTTGTAAACGCGCAGAGGACTGGGCTGGTCTGCAGAGCCTCGAATACACTTGCAAGTCTCCTCCAATCGAGCTCACATGTGAGTTGCTAGGGTGATTACTTATTATTATGGAGTAGTAAGACGATTCGTTGTGTTTGTATGAATATTCGTAGCAGTTCCTCGCTGGATCGGCTAACGAACTGGATCTATCTACTACGCTAGCTTACACCTTTTGGCCGTTACAGCGAGAAACCGGCGACTATCTGTTAGTGCGTCTACCTTGTTAGCTGGATTAGCAGTTACAGCTATGTAACTATTGCACTGAACGTGTGTATTTCGGACGCCAGAGGGGTTTTCACTTGGTCTTAAAGACATTGTACACAGATTCAAAGTGAAAGTTGAAATAGTGACACGGGCTAGTGGTGGTGTCCTCTGGTCTTGACGATAACATTTAGCGGTTCTCTTTCGAATGTATTTCCTTATTGGGCGCTTGTTTCGTCGCAATCATTCATGATGGGTCTCACCCGAGGTCTCGAAGTCGCCATTGTGAAACAGACGGTGGCCATGGTGCCCCCAATTAGTACAACTCCGATTTCAAAGTTACGGAGAAACGCAACCAACAGTTCGCCGACTTGTTGATACCACAATCTCAGACGCTTCTTTTTCAGTTCCGTTGCGAACCCATGGGCCGAACGCACTAGGTTTACATGTCGTCCGCCGGTGTTTCTCTGTGATTCTCTGTGCTAACACGCTTTTCCCAGCATGTTCAATTTGCCGCCGTCTCCATAGTATTCAGCATCCTGTCCCATATGTATCTGTCATTACGGCTGAGAGCAGTAACCGGCGGCCTGCGCCTGCGCAACAATTGTGGGTAGCTTGTGCTGCACGACCCATATCCACGCTATTCCATCGGGGATTAGGGATGCGGGTGGGAGACGTTGTTGTTGTTGTTTCAACGCCTGCCCACGCTCCCTTGTCATGCATGAGTAGATGGACCGGTGCGGTCGTTCCACTGTATCTCCATAGTGGTTTCGGGTGGAACAGAACGAAACGTCTGGTGGCCTTGCTATCCACTGAAGGACGCCCAAATCGGGAGCAGTTGTCGTCAAATCGGCAAACAAAGCACTTTTTGGCGTTTTGGGAAGCGTTGTCGCAACCAGACTCAACCGGACAGCTACCACACACCGGAAAGGGCACTGGGTGGCGTTTCGTCTAATCGAAACTGATCTGCTAGGTCAGCGACTAGCTCCGCCGAGGCGTGAGTAACAACGGTAGCCCACAATAACTGATCACCAGCTGCAATAAAACAGCTCATCCTCCCTTCCGAAACAGTAACACTCCATTTATTACCTTCTACTAATTAGTAATCATCCGACCCAGCATCTAATCTCCTAAGATAATTGGCAGCTTGGCGAGAAAAGTCATCACTTTGGAGACCAGTCCCGTCTTCTACATAGCAGCAACAGCAGCTTATGTATGGCTTTGGTGATTGAGCCACACTACATCGCAGCTACTATTCAGCCATTGGGGTCCACCACCGTCACCCATGGCTCCGTTATTGACTCGCAAGAAGAACGTCACGATTTAAAATCTAGCCGTAGCAGTTGGTGGGTGTAGGTGGCTAACGCGTGCCAGCAGGTCGGAAAAACTGTCCAACGATTTTCCAGACACGTGGTGGCTACCTGACTGAATGTGACCGCTACGCATTTACTCGAAATGCACAGCTCTTCTGCGCTGAAATACTTATGCACTGGTGGCGCCTGCACGAAACGCAGGCGCAAGATCAGAAAATGTCTTGCGTTCTGTGGAGAAAGAGGAGAAGCATCAGCAGTATGCTGAAACTCAGTACGGACGCTTCGCTGCCGCGCAACCACCACCGGTCACACGTGGGCTAAGGGGATACTGCGAGCGTCGTCCGGTCTCTACCTACGCAGGCTCGAACCCGCGCCCTAAGATTACTAGGCAACCTTACGATCCTTAAGGTCATGGGTATACATACATAGATAGCCCATACTGGGACCTATACGGCCTACAGCACAATACTAAACCAGTTACTCAAAACCCTCGGTATACTCGTACTCGAAATACTAAGCCCTGTCCGGCCCGCTGCTTAATAACACAGTTTGCCTGCTGTATTGTGTCTCCCCATTCCGCTCCTCTTTACCTTAGAAACTAGAAACATGCATAGTTGCTTTCTCACTAAAAGCTGTCTGCGGTAACTCTCCTAAAAATACTTCAACAATCTCCTACTATTGTCCAACAATTTGTGATCATTCGAAGTTGTACCAATGCATGTCATGACTCTGGACGCCACCTCTTCACGTCAATAGCAGGCAGGTGCTGGTCTGGATCAGCAGGTTACATTTCAACTAGTTTCCGCTCATAACGATCCCCCACTGTCGCCCCTTTGTCCATTGGATTTGGTCACTAACTCTAGGGATTCGGTGGAGATACACGTTACTTACGCGATCCCAAACGAGACGAATCGTCCATACAGCGCTTTCCTGGATGTGCACTGGCTTTCTGACTGCATCCGGCTGCATTGAATCTCAAACTATATTTTCCAAGGTCCCCGTAAAAGAAGCCACTTGTTGATGAACGAACTCGTTTTGGTATCGGTACCGAGCTGAACATTCAAAGGCGACATGTAACGAACGCTTGCAAACTCGCTTCCAAACTAGCAGGGCGACCCCACGAATATGTTCAGACGTCAGCCTCTCTCAATCGTTCACACAAGTGTTATGACGTTTGTTGGCGTGACTGCTGTTCGGTAACATGATAGCCTAGCTCTTCGTACCCGCCATGGCTCAAATGCATTAAACCCCACTGATATGTACACATGTTCCCATCTCTGATTGCACAGGTAATCTACTGGTAATGTGTCCAGTTTTAACTTGACACCCCTTTCCTTGTCTAGAGTGAACCACTGGAGCTAGAAGTTAGTCTCCAAGGCAGAGACATGTTGCAGCAACCTGGGGTGGCAAACTATCCACCAAATGCACTAGCTCTGGCGACTAACCACTTCACTGATCTGCGAACTTTCTCCCGCAAGTTGTCTGGCTTCTGTGTCTATTCCTGTTGCATACACATGTACGGCTCCCAAGCGTTCTCCTTCTGTTGAGGCGTTGGTATTTTCCGCTGTTTGCCCATTGTCGTCTGGCTTTATTTTACTTCCACACTACTGATATTTGTTGCAGTAGTACCCGCTTTTGGCTCACCTCAATGTGAATGACAGGTCACTTTGGCGAAAATGTCCGCAGTTTGAAATGTGTCTACTATGATCAGCGGACAAGATAATGGCTGAAAAGTAGAGGGATATCACATCGTACCGAGGTTACACTGAGTAAGGCTAAGACATTTTGAATGGACACAAATCCCGAAGATTTCGTTCAACTTTTTGGGATCGTTGCTCGATCCTTCTCCTTTTTCTACCCACTTGTAAACTTTAGCATTTTTAATGATAACCCTTTGGTAAATTTGCAGTTGATAATGTACAATACTGAAATGCACTCTTATGGGTAATTAAAGCTTATATTGATTTGACTGACTTGACTTGATGTGGACTCAACTGTAACTACGACGCAGGGTTTTGATCTGATTCTCTGTTTTGACGCACCAGTACACTACTACGTCAACTTCCCTCTAGTCCCTTCATTCTAACGTCTCACTTTTCGTTTTTCTCTTTTTAGCCCTTCCCTGGCCTAGATTTCTCCTCCGCCCCCCTATCCACACAGATGTCATCCGCTATGTTTCTACATCTTTCATCGCTCTCCATTGTCGTAGTTGCCCCGCCCCTCCTTATCATCGCAGAATTCCCCTCTTCCACATGTACATACCGACAACGGGTGTAGAGTGATAACCTTGAAGACCCGCTGTGTGCCACCTATTCACTACCCCCCCCCCCCCCCAAACCACCCATACTACACTCATTCGCATGTTTCACCGACGCCACTCCTGTCCAATGATTCCACCGGCTCCAAGTGCTTTCATTCTTCTCTCACCCCTGTCTGCCCACCTTGCTGCACTTCATCTACAGGTTGCACCGATCCGATTTTTCACCTGCGCATTCGAGAACGGATTCCCCCCCCCCCCACCTGATCCATACGGAATGTGACTAGTCCGTGCCTTGAAAGACCTTTCCTCTCTCTGCCTGAACTCCCTGTGTACACACTCCCTATAGTAATAATAATCTCTTTTATGAACCATGAACTGACTGACAATCAGACGTTTACCTTTTGATCTTATTGTCCAACGATCTCGCCACTCCCTTCGGTTATCCTTTCTTTTTCAGTCTGTTTATTTTTTGGCAAACAGTTTACCGGCCCTATGTCACTTTTCCACTACTCTCTCCTTTATCACGCTGACTTCTCGCATGGTACCTTTTCTTCCTTTTTCGTCAATCCATTGTGATCTCTTGATCTTTTACGTATGCGTGCTTGTAATCGTGCCGACACACACGCACGTAGACAATGTACATCATGTTATACAATGTTGCCTGATTTCTACACACACACTACTAGTGACTCTCTGCCCCCTCGTCGTCTCCGAACTATGTTCGCCAACTTTCCACTTCCTGTTTTCTGAACGTGGTGAATATACTTCTATCATGCTGCCCATTTCTACACACGTCTATGGGTTCGATTCGGAACCGGTTCGACCATTATTCGGCGATCGATCCTCCCGAGACATATGCATGACAGAATTGCTCTCATACAATGTTCGCCTTCCTCAAAACGCTGTCTCACTGATTCGTCTGACTATACGTTTTCTCCGTCAATTCCATTCGTAGCGCTTTCCAATTCCTCTTTGAGGGAATTATCTCTCTCCATAAATCTCTCAAATTGCATCTAAATGCCTACTGTTTGTTGAGGGAGAAATTCTAAACTAGCCAATAACATCCCATTCCGTGTGCTCATTTGATATACTATTGGCTAATTTTGAACTGGCCACCTAACGAACAGTACGAATTTAGGATCATTCGCGTCTATTGGATATAATTTGATAGCGGTAAGGATTATCTTGAGCGCTCTAGGGGGTACATGTTTTCAGTACGGAGGAATTTGAAAACGCTATTAATGAGGTTGACTGGGAAATGGTATAGTTTCTCACGCTGTCACCATTTGTTTAAGCACACTGCCACCATCCCGATAGCTTTTTGATTCGTGTAGTGGGCTTCTGATATCTCTGAATGTCACCACCATCGCCTAAGATTCATGCTTAGGAAGGTGTCATACCGAAATGATCACCACTCATGCTGATGTCTTCAAAGCTCGCCTTATGGAGCAGTGTAATGAATCTGGATGTGTGGTAGCTGTCTGTCTGATTCTAACTACGACGAATCTTCACAAAAAGTGTAACGAACCAGTTTGTACGTCTGATGTCTGGCAACAAATTCTAATGATAGAGTTGCTGTCACTCCGGTGAAGCACAAAGCGGTTGGCTTTGTGTGGATTGCCACTTGTTTGGTACACGTCTTCCAAGTTTGCTTATTTAACGAGGTATGTTGCTTATATATCGGGCTTAAGCAAGTAGTAGGATGAGGCCGAACAGTAATCTCTGCGTTCCATTACTCTGTGGAGGTGAGCGGAATCCCATAGATTAAACAAAAAGTCTAAAAAAATTGGCCAAGTGCTGGAAAAACTGATGACGAAATCATACTTACTCCGGGTGCCTTATAAACCTTATGCATTAGGACAGCGCCCTGTGGAGGACGTGCCTAACATTAGTGAGTATTTTGAATGCAAGAGCGTTATAGGAGTTACCATGGCTCGATACAAGTTCCGGCCTTGGAATGCCACTACACCAGGATAGATGCCTCACTGATTTGGCAATTACTTTGTGGTCTCTAATAGAGGGGTAAGCGGAGCGAATGTCCAGATACGAGGTCGCGCACAGGCTTACTGCGGAGCACGTGAGCTGTCTGCTGCATGCGAAGGTCACTAGCACGAGCATGGAACGACCTTCGACCGTTTTGCCAAATTTGGGAAACGGGCGCAAACTGATTGGCCAGCAAATACAAGCCCGAATCAACAGAGGCGAACAATTCTGCCAAATATAGAAAATCCGTGGGACGGAATTAACTCACATTGGCTGAGAGCCAAACGCTTCCAAAATTAGTATGTTTCGTTCACCAATAAATAGAACTGACCTATCGTATAGAATAGACTCCCTGTTTAGCGAGCGTTGGTCTTCTGTATCCCGTCGGTTGGTTGGGCGCATGACTGAACAATCCGGCGGTCGTAGCCTCGCAGGCGCAGAACAGCAGCAGTGCAGCAGTACGAAGGCAGCTTTACAACAGTCTACTCAAAAGACCAAGAAAGATCACTGGAGAATACTAAGTCCAGTAGAGTAACACTCATGTAGTGCTAAAACACTGGAAAACAAACGGGGTACGGAAGAAGACCTGAGATGTGTAACGTAGAATGAGAGTTTCCTAATTTTAGTGAATGTTTCGTTCACGTATAGGCACCATGTAAATCCACTGCTTAATGTTCAGGCACTTTACTGAACTGGTAATAGTCAGATCTTCACCGTCGATGCAAAATTGCGAGCACTGCATTAGGATTTGCCGGGGATAATTTCATTTAAATAGCGAGGTGAGGTTGTCTAGGGGAGTTTGTAATTTGGCCGACGACTCTATACTTGGATGGTGGATGCCAACGTATACGTCGTGCGCGTACCTTAGCAAGGTGGCTTATGCATAGACAGACATTGTGTTAACGTAGGTGGAAAATAGGAATGGGGACAAAATGGCTCTCTAAAGAACACCAGAATTCGTGGTCATTGATGAAGTGTTCACCAAATGCATTTTCGCTCTTATCAACCAGGTCATCTACTGCATCACTCACACTATGACACCCATGAACACGGTACACAAGAATACGTTTTTTCTACCAATTGTACGTGCCCCAGAGCCGCGGTGTGTCGCTCAATTAAGTGCAATAACAGTGTTACTCCAGAAAAAGTACCACAAAATTTATGCTCCCTATGGGCAATCAAGCAAACCACAATCCAAACTCAGGTCTGACCAAACAAATACTTATCCATTACTACAAGCCGCAATAGGCCTGCAAATCGAAGTGCTATCTGTCAAGAACACTATACGACCTTTAGATAGAGTAAAATACCACCTTGCGGACCCTTAGGTTATGGAGTTCACCATCATCCCCTGAGAGATCCGTCTGTATGCATGAAGATTCCAAATAACACATTAGTCCCATCAAGCCAGTCAATTTGCTCCTTAGTTCTTCCGTGGATAACACATAGGTTCACCTCGATCACACTCAGTTGCATCGTTTTTTTTGAATCTCACATCCCATCCTCCACCATCGTTAGCCATTTAACATATGACGGACTCACATATGCGCCATTTTCACTTCAAATTGGCCTTTTTTCCAAACCACTTTGGATGTTCTACAAACCATATTGGACGTTTTGCAAACGTAATTGGACACATTGCATTCTAAGCAGAAAATCAGTAATTAGAGCTGAATATTCATCCTTCAAGGGTGCACAAAGCACATTCTTGACTTGAGTAGACTGAGGTGAATAGACGATGTTCAGACTGCATTGTAGTCATGCTAACGCCACCGAATTGTGGAAACAGCAGATATCACTGCAAACCTTTCCTTTGATCAAAAGCGGTGGCTAAGTTTCTCCCTCTCTCCCCACTGACATTCGCGCAGTTTATGTGCCTGTGTCTTTACTCATGAACTTGGGTAGCTGCGTGATTATTGGAAAGTCTGACTCCCGAATCATCTAATCTATTATGACCTAAACAAATGTCAACTAGCTTTGGAGGGTCATTGTGAAGCACTCGTTTTGTGCATGGATTGCGATACGCAGTCTCAATTTGGACCGCTATTCCCACTGAACTGAACTTTGACCAATTCTATCACTGGAACCGTAATTGATAAACCAGACAGGCGGCGATCCACTAGTCCCCTTCACTCTATGGACCCTTGCCTATTTTGTGTGGATGTGCGGGCGAACTTATACAGCTGCTGAACTATTGGAACACTGTAGGCCATCATCATCGTTCTCTACTTAGCATGCAGTGTGTCCGATCCGTTTTGCAAAATGTCCTATTTATTTTGCAACACGTCCAAGCTGGTGTGCAGAACGTCCAAAGCAATTTGCAAAACGTGCAATTTAAAGTGAAAATAGGATATAGTGACGCATCTGTAAGAGAAATAGACGGTTGCTTAAATAATACATTACACTTTAGGAGAGTAGCGGTCGGTCCTCGAGCTGAACACGTAAGTCAGGGGTTTGTGGTGGGTGAAGACGGCAAGGGAGCGGCCTTCTGAGACATATCAGAAATGATGTTGGGTTACATAAATGAATAATAGTTCTCAACCGAAGTACTGTAGCTAACTTCGCCAGGTTGCAAACGTTTGGCGAAAAATGACAGCAGTTACCAGGTGTCACCTACCTTTTGTAGTAAGACCGCCCCAGCTACCACGTCAAAAACGTCATTACTGAGCGACAGTGAGGCTGTCGGGTCGTAATGCACTATAGAAACTGTGTTAACGAGAGCTTTTTCAAACCCTGGAAGGTGGCGGCGTGCTGCAGCATAAAAATCAAGTTTCTTAATGTTCCCTCGGAGAAGGTCCGTGAGTGGTTGCATAAGCGAGGCGCAGCTAGGTATGAAACGGTGATAAAGGTTGACGAGGCTATCTAAGCGTTTGGGTTGCTTGAAAAAATGGGGTTTGGGATAGTCGATGATGTCCTTAATTTTATCCTGTAGTGGCACGACGCCTGCAGGGGAGATGTTGGCCGAGAAAACTGAACGAATCGACACCAAAAGAACTGTTTTCTGTGTTGATCGTCACCCCGTGTTGCGATAAACGAGCAAAAAGTACTCTTCAGGTGAAGAGCTCGCGATTAAGATGTAGTCGAGGTAGACATAAATGATAAATGATAAATGGTATTTTCCTCGGTGATTCGAGGTGCAGTCCAACTATGTGGTCTGATCAATGTGTATAACAGGATCGCAAAAAAATAATCAATTTGTTCACGCTGTTTACAATGGATCCAAAACAGATACTAAACTAATTGGCAGGATTAAGGCATTAAAGAAATTAAAAACCAGGAACAATAACGTACGCAGATTTAAACAGATGTCCAGTTAAAGTAATACGGCCACTCGTGGAACCATCCCCAGGGGACCTGCTTCCATGCAAGGTATTCCCTCGAAAGGTTTCGCTCGCACTTCCATGCAATAACTGGCCGTGTGCCGGTGTGACATAGTAGCATATGAGCCATCACCTGTTCTAAACCGTGACAAACTTGGTCAATGAAGCGCTGAAAAGTTTGCGCGGCATCTTTTAACCAAACGACATGCGCAGAAACTCGAACGAACCAAATGGAGTCGTCACGGCAGTTTTAACGATGTCCACTTCGGCTACCGGAATGTGGTTGTAAGTGCGCACCAGGTCGATTTTACCGAAAACACTTTTACCTGCCAGACTGACTGTGAGATCCAAAGTGGTTTGCAAAAAGTCCAATTTAAAGTGAAAATAGGATATAGTAACGCATCTGTAAGAGAGATAGACGGTTGCTTAAATATTGCGTTATGTAAATGCATGGTGGCACACTTTAACTGCTGCTTATTATTGC